GTCTGGTCGGTTCATCGTCGACTTACCTTTTAAGGAAGAAGCCCCTATCTTCCCAAATATCCGATCTCTGGCTTTACAGAGGTTTTATTCCCTTGAGCGGAGACTTAAGAAGCAGCCTGAGATTTACTCGCAATATCGCGATTTCATGAACGAATTTATTGCGCTTAACCACATGGAATCTATTCCAGACGATTCGTTCAGTCCCCTCACTGTTATTATCTATCCCACCATTGTGTTTTAAGGCCGGAAAGTTTAACCAGTAAACTAAGGGTGGTTTTTAACGGTTCCGCACACCTTCCCAACCAGCCTTCCCTCAATGATATATTCACCGGTCCAAAACTCCAGAGTGATATATCTACAATATTATTAAATTTTCGTTTATTCAAGCCGGCATCGTATAGTCTTAGGAGCCTACCTCGATTTAAAATTTAAAACTTAAATGGATAGAAGGAACGTCGGAAACCTAGCAGGATATAGTGTTTACGAAACCGCACCACTCTACGCGCTCTTTAAGAAACTCGGTACGAAAATTCGCTTATTTTTCGCCTCCGACGCACCCTTACCGAAATACGGCCCTTTTTCGAATTTTTTTTTTCAATTTTAAAATGGCCATAACTCGAAAACGGTTCGTTTTTTGGAAAAACCGAGCAATTTTTTACGGGAATCCGGTATCGGTTTCCCCATTTTCTTGATTTTGATACCCCCGCCGGCATCGTATAGAGTATTGCGAGCCTACCTCGATTTAAAATTTAAAACTTGAATGGATAGGAGGAACGTCGGAAACCTACCAGGCTATAGTGGTTACGAATCCGCACCACTCTACGCGCATTATAAAGAGCTCGGTACGAAAATTCGCTTATTTTTCGCCCCCGACGCACCCTTACCGAGATACGGCCCTTTTTCGTATTTTTTTTTTCGATTTTAAAATGGCCATAACTCGAAAACGGTTCGTCCAATCAAAAAAGGACAAAATTTTCACCCCAGAGGGGTCGCTTCTCACCCCCCTTTATTCTTAGAAGACATTTTCTCCGATTTTTTTTTCAAAAATTACAAAATTCGAAGGGGTAAAATTTGGAGGGGGGGGGGGTTGAGACTTTGTCAGTCGATTCCCCACGCCGAGTCGGCCGGTCCGCCTAATTAACAGCACCGAGGCCGGTACGAAAATTCGCTTATTTTTCGCCTCCGACGCACCGTTTCCGAGATACGGCCTTTTTTCGAAAATTTTTCGAAAATGTCGAAATCTCGAAAACGGCTCGTCGGATCGAAAAACGCACGAAATTTTCGCCCCAAAGGGGTCGCTTCTCACCCCCGTTTACCCTTAGAAGGCATTTTCTCAGATTTTTTTTTTCAAAAATTACAAAATCCGAGTGGGTAAAATTTGGAGGGGGGGGGGGGGGGGTTGAGACTTTGTCAGTCGATTCCCCACGCCGAGTCGGCCGGTCCGCCTAATTAATAACGCCGAGGTCGGTACGAAAATTCTCTTATTTTTCGCCTCCGACGCACCGTTTCCGAGATACGGCCCTTTTTCCAAAATTTTTCGAAAATGTCGAAATCTCGAAAACGGCTCGTCGGATCGAAAAACGCACGAAATTTTCTCCCCAAGGGGATCGCTTCTCACCCCCGTTTACCCTTAGAAGGCATTTTCTCAGATTTTTTTTTTTCAAAAATTACAAAATCCGAGTGGGTAAAATTTGGAGGGGGGGGGGGGTTGAGACTTTGTCAGTCGATTCCCCACGCCGAGTCGGCCGGTCCGCCTAATTAATAACGCCGAGGTCGGTACGAAAATTCTCTTATTTTTCGCCTCCGACGCACCGTTTCCGAGATACGGCCCTTTTTCCAAAATTTTTCGAAAATGTCGAAATCTCGAAAACGGCTCGTCGGATCGAAAAACGCACTAAATTTTCGCCCCAAAGGGGTCGCTTCTCACCCCCGTTTACCCTTAGAAGGCATTTTCTCAGATTTTTTTTTTTCAAAAATTACAAAATCCGAGTGGGTAAAATTTGGAGGGGGGGGGGGGTTGAGACTTTGTCAGTCGATTCCCCACGCCGAGTCGGCCGTTCCTATTAATCATTACCTCGGGGTTCCGAAAACCAACAAAATAGAACCGAGGTCCTATTCCATTATTCCATGCACACAGTATTCAGGCGAAGTTTTAGCCTGCTTTAAGCACTTGTTCAAAGTAAACGTGCCGGCCCACCTCGACACTCAATGAAGAGCACCGCGGCAGGATTGAGTTGGACCGCCCGCGTGAACGGGCTAAGTCCACCGGCAGGACGTCTCGCGGCACGCCAGTTAACACCGCGGACGATGAACCGGCGGCGCGAGACACAAATTCGACTACGAGCTTTTTAACCGCAACAACTTTAATATACGCTATTGGAGCTGGAATTACCGCGGCTGCTGGCACCAGACTTGCCCTCCAATTGATCCTCGTTAAAGGGTTTAGAGTGTACTCATTCCGATTACGGGGCCTCGGATGAGTCCCGTATCGTTATTTTTCGTCACTACCTCCCCGTGCTGGGAGTGGCTAATTTGCGCGCCTGCTGCCCTCCTTGGATATGGTAGCCGTTTCTCAGGCTCCCTCTCCGGAATCGAACCCTGATTCCCCGTTACCCGTTACGACCATGGTAGGCGCAGAACCTACCATCGACAGTTGATAAGGCAGACATTTGATAGATGCGTCGCCGGTGCGAGACCGTGCGATCAGCGTAAAGTTATTCAGAGTCACCAAGTTGAACGATGTCGGGCGCGAACCCGCCACCGATTGGTTTTCATCTAATAAAAGCACTCCTTCCGTCTCCGGTCGGACCTCTGTTTGCATGTATTAGCTCTAGAATTACCACAGTTATCCAAGTAATTGTGGGTACGATCTAAGGAACCATAACTGATTTAATGAGCCTTTCGCGGTTTCACCTCGAATTTGCGTATACGGATCGCCTTTGTATGCGGACCGCCTCCGTATGCGGACCGCCTTCGTATATGGATCGCCTCGGTATACGGACCGCCTCCGTATGCGGACCGGCTCCATATACGGAACGCCTTTATATACGGACCGCCTCCAAATACAGACCCCCTTCTTATACGGACCGCCTCCATATACTGATCGCCTCCATATACGGATCACCTCCATATGCGGACCGCCATTATATACGGACCGTCTCTAAATACAGACCGCCTTCGTATACGGACCGCCTCCATATACGGACCGCTTCCATATAGGGATCGCCTCCATATACGGAACGCCTTTATATACGGACCGCCTTGATATACAGACCGCTTCCATATATTGATCGCCTCCATATACGGATGACCTTCATATACAGACCGCCATTATATACGGAACGTCTCTAAATACAGACCGCCTTTGTATACCAACCGCCTCCATATACAGACCGCCTCTCTATACGGACCGCTTCCATATAGGGATCGCCTTCATATACGGAACGCCTTTATATACGGACCGCCTCCAAATACAAACCGTCTTCGTATACGGACCGCCTCGATATACAGACCGCTTCCATATATTGATCGCCTCCATATACGGACCACCTCCATATACAGACCGCCATTATATACGGAACGTCTCTAAATACAGACCGCCTTTGTATACGGACCGCCTCCATATACAGACAGAATCTATATGTAAACCGCTTCCATATGCGGACCGGCTTTATATACGGACCGCTTCCAAATACAGACCGCCTTTGTATACGGACCGCCTTGATATACAAGCCGCTTCAATATACAGACCGCCTTCGTATACGAACCGCCTCCATATACAGACCGCCATTATATACGGACGGTCTCTAAATGCAGACCGCCTTCGTATATGAACCGCCTCCATATACAGACCGCCTCTATATGTAAACCGCTTCCATATGCGGACCGGCTCCATATATAGACCGCCTGCATATATAGACCGAGTCCATTTATAGACCGCCTCCACGTACAGATCGCCTTTATATACAGACCGCCCCATATATATGTCGTCTCTATATATAGACCGCTTCCATAACCGAAGCTAACCAAAATGGACCAAAGTGAAGTATATAGACCGTCTAAACGGTAAACCGCCTCGGTGGTGGTTGGCATCACCAAAGCGATAACCGAAACTAACCAAAATGGACCAAAGTGACGTATTGCCTAGACCGTGAACCTCTTCGGTGGCGGTTTGATATCTAATTAAAACTAATAAAAAAACTGATCAAAACTTAGAATTGAACATCACCATGATTCAGAACGTTTTGAAATTGAAATAAAAATGTTAAGATATGTGATTACGTATTTTTGAAACGTTCGTCTCGAAACGTTTCGTTCGACGTTAAAGGAAAAAGGAATGGGAAAGGGAAAATAAATTTATTTCATTTTTATTTATTATCGAAAACGAATTCTTTAAAAAACGATTTGGCGGTTCTAAAAAGAACCTTGAAGGTCGCCTGAAATATAACAAATTAGTATTGATAATAAAAAATCCTTGGCCGGTTGTGAACGTCTCGTAGATCTGAAACATTAAAAAAAAAAGGATTAGTTACGTTATGAGATAGTGTGTCGCGAATCGGGTTATCGTCGTATTTTTCTCTATCGTTCGATTGTCCGCGGTATCGAACGTAACGAATAATTTCGACCCTCGTGATGGGATTAAAGTCATAATCGGGTAAAAGTCTCAATCGGGTGAACGTCTTTGTCGGGTTAGAGTTTTAATCGGGAAAAAGTCATCGTTCGTACCGGCGGCAGGAAATATTGGAACTCGTGTACTTAATAAAAATTTGGAAAATGTAATATTTTTATTTGGTAAAAGTCGTGATCGAGTAAACGTCATAATTGGGTAAAAAGTCACGATCGGGTGAAAAGGCTATATTGGGTAAAGGACGTCGTCGGTAAAAAGTCGCCCTCGGTTACAAGTTATTACCGGTGAACTGTCATCGTTGTGTCGTAAAATCGGAACGAAAATAGGGTCGTAAAATGGAAACGAAAATGTAAAAAGTGGCAAATTTTCGAATTCAATTGAAGATTTTATCTAAAAACGCCCTATAAACGATATTCTGCGTGAAAACTGGATTATTTTTGCGACCGTCTTTAAAGAAACGACCCTGTCTACGACTTTCCTTTACAAAAATGCGAATATCCTGCCAAGTACGCACTCTGGACAAAGCGACGTACAATTGACCGTGAGCAAAACACGGGACGTTGAGACACAAACCGACTCGCGAAAGAGTCTGTCCTTGCGCTTTGTTGATAGTAATTGCGTGCGCCAACTTAATCGGAAATTGTTTTCTATAAAATGTGCCGCCGCCCGGTAGCAATGGCGTTTCTTTTTCCGCTAAAACGAATTGTTTTCTGATAATGACACATTTACGGCCCTGAAATTGACCGGAAACGATGCGGCCGACTATCACGTCATCGCCCATCTCCAAAACGATCATTCTCTGTACGTTACAAAAACCCCTCCACACGTTAAGATTTACCAAAAGGACTACCACCGAACCGATCTTCAAAGTCAACCGATATGGCGGTAGTCCCGACAAATCTAAACTTTCGATAATTTCACTGGTGACTCCCGTCGCGAGGGGATTGGCGATTTCGTGATCGTCGGCCCCATCCTCGTTACTCTGTCTATCGTAGGAATTGGTCGCCAAAAAGACCCTCTCCGATCCTGACGGATCGGGGAAGATCTTTGAGATGATTTCGTTCAACTCCTCGACCTCGCTGTTCACGGGACAAAGGATCGACCGGAGGGCCAATCGCTCGGCTAATTCCAAGAATTGCTCGTTCGTCCCGGGAAGAGAGAGCATCGATTCGAAGACGTCCCCGTAAACAAAGTCGACGAGTTGTTCGCGCGATTTGACAATTAATTTGGAAGGAACGAACAGACAGTTATCGGAAATCGGTTCGCGTCCGTTGTCCGAAACGATTCTTTCCCCGTCGCCTACTCTCCTGATGAAATTCGACCATTCCACCTCTTGCGGATGAACACGCATGTTTTCCGTTAACGTGCACAGTTGAAAAGTACTCCATGCCGGATGCGAAACGATAGACGCCATTCCCGCTCGCCTACCCTTGACAACGGGAAGCAACTGCTTGGGATCGCCGCTAAGAATAACGGTTTTCCCACCGAACGACCGTCGCGATTGACCGTATTCCCGACACACGGCATCGATCATTTCCAACATCCACGACGCCAACATAAACACCTCGTCTAACACGACGAGTCTCGCGTTTCGAATATCGTCGGCCGCCTCCGACTCGCCCACCAAATTAGAAACCGGCGTATCGTCTACGCCTCTTTCTCTAGGAATGCCGAAAGAAGAATGAATCGTAGCCGCGTTCCGGATTAACGTGGCCGCGATCCCCGTAAAAGCCGCGGATACGTACGGTAACGCGCGAAGTTCCGCCACTTCCAAAATAACGTTGACGGTCGCGGTTTTGCCGGTGCCCCCTTCGCCGGTCAAAACGAAAACGATACCGTTACGATTGCATACAGACTGTAAAACCTCGTAAACGAATCCCAGCTGTTGATCGTTGAGATCGATCAGATGCAAATTTTGATTCGGTCTCGGAACGAAAGCGAATTCCTCGAACGTAACCTCTTCCTCGTCCAAAAGTTGTTCCGCCTCCTCGTCGTAAACCCAATCGGAAATCCAATCCCGAGGAAGATTAATTTTTTCCATCGAAGTGGAGCATTCGACCAGAAATCGATCTACGAAACTCCAAAGGACCGTATACCGACACGTACGGAGCACGTGCATCCTTTCGTTTAAGTCGCCCGCGCCCTCTTCGTCGATATCTCTTATTAAATCGATATGAATCCTAAGCACGTCCGCGGACATACGCCTGCACCATCTCTTAAATAAAGTTCGGGGATTCTTCGACGGATTGTACAAGAGAATTAGAGCGAACGCTTCCCTTAAATAAAACGGATGACGAAGACGATCCGCTATCCAATCTAAAATCTTGTCCGCCTCTTCGTCGTCGTCCGGGATCAATTTTAACGCTACGCAAGCGGCCTGATACGAAGGACATAAAACGCCGTTTACGGTTTTCGCGTCCACGAACGAAATCAAACCTGTCACGTTGCCCAAAATCATTCGTAGATAGTAGCGCTCCATATTCCCCGGACTCGGATAAACCGGACTCATACGACCTAGAGAACTGGTGGGTCGCGACTTGGCGACCCAACGACCTTGCCGCCAAGAGTGCGTTTCGACGATGTCGACGTAGAACCGTCGCCGACCCGTCGCCTCCTCCGCCGCGTTCAATTCGAACCAAGCGACGAGCTTAGAACGCTCGCCCCTTTCGACTACGGCCACCTCGTCCCCTTCCCTGTAAATTTCACAAGCCTCTCCTTCCAAATGCACGGGCAACTTTTCGATCGTGTGACTGATATGGAACATGCCATTTCCCAAGATGCGATAGACCGCCTCGTGCGGTCCGATATATCTCATTTTAAGGAATGCCGCCGCCTCGTTCCAATCGATCGTACCGGTGGTCGTATTCACTTGCATCTCAACGCATTGGATGTTCGCTACGTCTAACCCCTTATTGACGTAGGCGTTAATGTATCGACACACCTGGATCGGGTTTCCGACGCAAAGTTCCAAATTCGTTGCCGACGAAACGTTTATGTTGCCTGTTAAAAAAGCAAACACCCGGAGGACGTCTGTAAAGAATTTGCTTCTCGATCTTAAAAACGGTGCTCGATATTTGCTGTTTCGGATATTTCCACCGGCATCGATCGACAACGGTCCAGCAAGGCGGTCTTCTGACCCTCGAATTTTCGACACCTATCTCCCCCTCTTGTTCCTCCTCCTCGTCATTGTCGTCGATTTCCTGTTCGACGGATTCCGGTTCGATATCGCACTTGTTATGTATAGTTATATATATGTATAGTTATATATATATATATATATATATATATATATATATATATATATATATATATATATATATATATATATATATATATATATATATATATATATATATATATATATATATATATATATATATATATATATATATATATATATATATATATATATATATATATATATATATATATATATATATATATATATATATATATATATATATATATATATATATATATATATATATATATATATATGTATATATAGGGTTTTCTTTGTCATTTTAAACAGATTCCAGTCAAAATCGGCTTCTTCGACTCATATCGTACCTAAAACCGCATCAAAACTGCAAATATCAGTTTAAACTATCATTTTTTGATACAAACAGTTATATATTCATGCCAATATCATTCAAATTCTAGTCAAAATCGGCGTCTTTGGGCATTTTAGTAACGAAAACCTTAATAAACTATTAGATTTCGACGTAAGGCAACCATTCTGAGTCAAATAGTTGCCGATTTCGATAAAATCTTAGTCAGAATCTGCTTTTTCGCCTCTTATTGTACCCAAATCTACCTTAGAAATGCAGATATATACTTAAAACACCTTCTTTTGGGACAAATAATTGGTTTTCGCCCTTGATTTACAGAAGATTATAGCCAAAACATGCATTTTCATAACTTAGCGAACTGAAATCTACATTAAAACTGCAGATAACTACTTAAAAATTCACTTCCTTGAATTGATAATAGGTTTTTCTTTGTCATTTTAAACAGATTCCAGTCAAAATCGGCTTCTTCGATTCATATCGTATCTAAAACCGCATCAAAACTGCAAATATCAGTTTAAACTATCATTTTTTGATACAAACAGTTATATATTCATTTCAATATCTTTCAAATTCTAGTCAAAATCGGCGTCTTTGGGCATTTTAGTATCGAAAACCTTAATAAACTATTAGATTTCGACGTAAGGCAACCTTTCTGAGTCAAATAGTTGCCGATTTCGATAAAATCTTAGTCAGAATCTGCTTTTTCGCCTCTTATTGTACCCAAATCTACCTTAGAAATGCAGATATATACTTAAAACACCTTCTTTTGGGACAAATAATTGGTTTTCGCCCTTGATTTACAGAAGATTATAGCCAAAACATGCATTTTCATAACTTAGCGAACTGAAATCTACATTAAAACTGCAGATAACTACTTAAAAATTCACTTCCTTGAATTGATAATAGGTTTTTCTTTGTCATTTTAAACAGATTCCAGTCAAAATCGGCTTCTTCGATTCATATCGTATCTAAAACCGCATCAAAACTGCAAATATCAGTTTAAACTATCATTTTTTGATACAAACAGTTATATATTCATTTCAATATCTTTCAAATTCTAGTCAAAATCGGCGTCTTTGGGCATTTTAGTATCGAAAACCTTAATAAACTATTAGATTTCGACGTAAGGCAACCTTTCTGAGTCAAATAGTTGCCGATTTCGATAAAATCTTAGTCAGAATCTGCTTTTTCGCCTCTTATTGTACCCAAATCTACCTTAGAAATGCAGATATATACTTAAAACACCTTCTTTTGGGACAAATAATTGGTTTTCGCCCTTGATTTACGGAAGACTATAGCCAAAACATGCATTTTCATAACTTAGCGAACTGAAATCTACATTAAAACTGCAGATAACTACTTAAAAATTCACTTCCTTGAATTGATAATAGGTTTTTCTTTGTCATTTTAAACAGATTCCAGTCAAAATCGGCTTCTTCGATTCATATCGTATCTAAAACCGCATCAAAACTGCAAATATCAGTTTAAACTATCATTTTTTGATACAAACAGTTATATATTCATGTCAATATCTTTCAAATTCTAGTCAAAATCGGCGTCTATGGGCATTTTAGTAACGAAAACCTTAATAAACTATTAGATTTCGACGTAAGGCAACCATTCTGAGTCATATAGTTGCCGATTTCGATAAAATCTTAGTCAGAATCTGCTTTTTCGCCTCTTATTGTACCCAAATCTACCTTAGAAATGCAGATATATACTTAAAACACCTTCTTTTGGGACAAATAATTGGTTTTCGCCCTTGATTTACGGAAGATTATAGCCAAAACATGCATTTTCATAACTTAGCGAACTGAAATCTACATTAAAACTGCAGATAACTACTTAAAAATTCACTTCCTTGAATTGATAATAGGTTTTTCTTTGTCATTTTAAACAGATTCCAGTCAAAATCGGCTTCTTCGATTCATATCGTATCTAAAACCGCATCAAAACTGCAAATATCAGTTAAAACTATCATTTTTTGATACAAACAGTTATATATTCATGTCAATATCTTTCAAATTCTAGTCAAAATCGGCGTCTTTGGGCATTTTAGTAACGAAAACCTAAATAAACTATTAGATTTCGACGTAAGGCAACCTTTCTGAGTCAAATAGTTGCCGATTTCGATAAAATCTTAGTCAGAATCTGCTTTTTCGCCTCTTATTGTACACAAATCTACCTTAGAAATGCAGATATATACTTAAAACACCTTCTTTTGGGACAAACAATTGGTTTTCGCCCTTGATTTACAGAAGATTATAGCCAAAACATGCATTTTCATAACTTAGCGAACTGAAATCTACATTAAAACTGCAGAAAACTACTTAAAAATTCACTTCCTTGAATTGATAATAGGTTTTTCTTTGTCATTTTAAACAGATTCCAGTCAAAATCGGCTTCTTCGGCTAAACTATCATTTTTTGATACAAACAGTTATATATTCATTTCAATATCTTTCAAATTCTAGTCAAAATCGGCGTCTTTGGGCATTTTAGTATCGAAAACCTTAATAAACTATTAGATTTCGACGTAAGGCAACCTTTCTGAGTCAAATAGTTGCCGATTTCGATAAAATCTTAGTCAGAATCTGCTTTTTCGCCTCTTATTGTACCCAAATCTACCTTAGAAATGCAGATATATACTTAAAACACCTTCTTTTGGGACAAATAATTGGTTTTCGCCCTTGATTTACGGAAGATTATAGCCAAAACATGCATTTTCATAACTTAGCGAACTGAAATCTACATTAAAACTGCAGATAACTACTTAAAAATTCACTTCCTTGAATTGATAATAGGTTTTTCTTTGTCATTTTAAACAGATTCCAGTCAAAATCGGCTTCTTCGATTCATATCGTATCTAAAACCGCATCAAAACTGCAAATATCAGTTTAAACTATCATTTTTTGATACAAACAGTTATATATTCATGTCAATATCTCTCAAATTCTAGTCAAAATCGGCGTCTTTGGGCATTTTAGTAACGAAAACCTTAATAAACTATTAGATTTCGACGTAAGGCAACCTTTCTGAGTCAAATAGTTGCCGATTTCGATAAAATCTTAGTCAGAATCTGCTTTTTCGCCTCTTATTGTACCCAAATCTACCTTAGAAATGCAGATATATACTTAAAACACCTTCTTTTGGGACAAATAATTGGTTTTCGCCCTTGATTTACGGAAGATTATAGCCAAAACATGAATTTTCATAACTTAGCGAACTGAAATCTACATTAAAACTGCAGATAACTACTTAGAAATTCACTTCCTTGAATTGATAATAGGTTTTTCTTTGTCGTTTTAAACAGATTCCAGTCAAAATCGGCTTCTTCGACTGATATCGTACCTAAAACCGCATCAAAACTGCAAATATCAGTTTAAACTATCATTTTTTGATACAAACAGTTATATATTCATGTCAATATCTTTCAAATTCTAGTCAAAATCGGCGTCTTTGGGCATTTTAGTAACGAAAACCTTAATAAACTATTAGATTTCGACGTAAGGCAACCATTCTGAGTCAAATAATTGCCGATTTCGATAAAATCTTAGTCAGAATCTGCTTTTTCGCCTCTTATTGTACCCAAATCTACCTTAGAAATGCAGATATATACTTAGAACACCTTCTTTTGGGACAAATAATTGGTTTTCGCCCTTGATTTACGGAAGATTATAGCCAAAACATGCATTTTCATAACTTAGCGAACTGAAATCTACATTAGAACTGCAGATAACTACTTAAAAATTCACTTCCTTGAATTGAGAATAGGTTTTTCTTTGTAATTTTAAACAGATTCCAGTCAAAATCGGCTTCTTCGATTCATATCGTATCTAAAACCGCATCAAAACTGCAAATATCAGTTTAAACTATCATTTTTTGATACAAACAGTTATATATTCATGTCAATATCTTTCAAATTCTAGTCAAAATCGGCGTCTTTGGGCATTTTACTTTTGAAAACCTTAATAAACTATTAGATTTCGACGTAAGGCAACCTTTCTGAGTTAAATAGTTGCCGATTTCGATAAAATCCTAGACAGAATCTGCTTTTTCGCCTCTTATTGTACCCAAATCTACCTTAGAAATGCAGATATATACTTAAAACACCTTCTTTTGGGACAAATAATTGGTTTTCGCCCTTGATTTACGGAAGATTATAGCCAAAACATGCATTTTCATAACTTAGCGAACTGAAATCTACATTAAAACTGCAGATAACTACTTAAAAATTCACTTCCTTGAATTGATAATAGGTTGTTCTTTGTCATTTTAAACAGATTCCAGTCAAAATCGGCTTCTTCGACTCATATCGTACCTAAAACCGCATCAAAACTGCAAATATCAGTTTAAACTATCATTTTTTGATACAAACAGTTATATATTCATGTCAATATCTTTCAAACTCTAGTCAAAATCGGCGTCTTTGGGCATTTTAGTAACGAAAACCTTAATAAACTATTAGATTTCGACGTAAGGCAACCTTTCTGAGTCAAATAGTTGCCGATTTCGATAAAATCTTAGTCAG